GGCAGTCTTTTTCGAGTATTTCTTTTCATTTTTATTCAGAATCACGGAAGAGTCCCCTTTAAAAAGTCCGAATTAGAGAGGTATGTTTGTCTGACACGGAGATGGAGTTGAATAAATATTGTTGAGCGAATGAACAAATTCACATCACCTCTATTACTGTTGCAGTCTTAACGGCCTTTGCCCTTTTAAGCACTGTCACTTTCTTCTATTACTTTCTTTTTTAATCTGCAAAATCCTTCCGGGGAAAGCCAGCAGAGGTCAAAGCTCAGAAACAGCATGAAAAGGTCGTTCTAAATCCTCGCTTAGAGTGATTTTTAACAAAGGTTGAAAAATTATAACATTTTTCACGTGGATAGCTGTATTCAGTTCGCCTAAAGTGTTTGAAAATTAGTTATTTTGAAGACTAATAGCATAGTTTTTAAGATGAGAAATCAAATGGCAGTGCCAATTTTGTATTTAATAATGAAAAGAAAGTACGTTTTTTTAACTTTAGGAAAAAGTCAAATTGAGTTAGATGACCCCCATTTGGAGTTCATTAACGGTGATCCATCATACGATTTTTCTATACTTTCAAGTTTTCTATACCGTTAAGTTGAAAACAGGCTCCAGAATAAGAAAATGTGATTGAAACTTTAATAGTTTTGAATATTCTGGGGAAAATTTCCCCCCAAATCACGTCGTTCTTATTTTATTATTTCTATTTTTCTCACAACCTGAGAGTATACTTTACGTAGACATAATATCTCCACGAATAAGAATAGGAAACACTTGCAAAATACTTTATTTCAAAGAATAAGAGTGCCTTTTTCCAGTATTCAGATTAAAGGGAGCAGAATTCTGATGTTACTTTCACAAATTTACTGCGTCATTTGTGGTAAATTGTGCTGCAGTCTTTGTATTTTTGCCCCCAAGGTTTTACTGATTGCACGCATTCACCTGTTTTAACAACGAATGTATGGAAAAACTAATATTAATTCTGTTGTTTGGCTCTCTGAACAAAGGCTACTTAAAATCGCTCTTATTGATTAAGTCCAGATGGGATTCATTTTTTCTGATATACAGAACACCGGAAAATGTATCCACCTTTATTATTCCTCATCGAAATGAGCTCCTTTAGGTTTCTAATTATATTGTTTAATAAAACTAAAGAGTCAATGCTATTTGCATATTATATGAAGTGTCACACAACAAACTCATAGCAGTCAATTAACATAAAAGCTAATTATAGATCTCATCAACTTAGAAGAGTTTCTGAATTCTTGCTTTCCCTGCTGTAGCCTAGAGCAAAGAAGGTTTGAATTTTCACTTCTAAGTATTGACTTTTAACTAACATCAGAAGTGATTTCAGTATTTTTATGGATGAAAAGTTAGTGATTAAACTAGATGTGATATTTGCTGTAACGCAATTAAAACTTTTACATTAACTAAACCTCTAGAAAGAAAATCTTTGCAACAATGTGAAACTATCAGTCACTAAGCAGGTTAAGTACTGGTTTCCTATCTGAGGGACACTCCAAAAGTGTCAGACTGTTATGAAAAAGACAGTATACCACAAGGACAGTCTCCACATCAGACTGTAAACTGTAACATAATTGTGATAGCTATCAAGCAAGAAATTTGCTACAGGATGAACAGAGACACAGTGATGAACGAACATGGGAGGCACCCTGTAATTGACTGTTATTAAAGTGTTGTTACAGTGACCTGGAGTAGATCCCCAACTCCAGTTTTCTCAAGAAACCAAAGCCAAAACTTTCAACTACCTTTTTCCGTTTTCACGTTGGGATCTGTGTATCTCCTCCCACTCCCATGTCATAGCTCACACAAATAAGCACATGGTCACAAGAGGCCTAAAAGAAAAAAATAATAATAAACACGACATATACCAAGTATGATTTAGAGTAGTAGCTAGATTCCAAAATGGCAAAAGTTAGGATTTACTTCGATGAGGGTGTGCTAGATAGTAATGAAATTGTAGCATATCGTTTTTGTATTTATAACGTATACCAAATGAGCCTGTCTGTAAAAGTAATGGCTGATAAGAAAACCGTGCCAGTGAATCGGTTTTCTCCTGATACAATGATGGCGGCCTTTTTCATTCATATTTTAATGAGGTTAGTATCTCTGAGACCCTCCTTCCAGGGTGGAGGAAATGCTCCCCTAAGATTACAATAGGAGTTGCTTTATTGACAAGCACTATTCAGAATCTTCATAGTATAGGAAGAAAGACTTAGTTTTATTCCACTTGCCTCAATACTTATTGCACTCTTATAATCAAAACACTTTGAGGGGAGAAAAAGGCTCAATTATTCCCTGAACAGTCTTTAAGTTTAGTGAATGTAGTTCAACTAAGTGGAATCATTTAAAACCCTAATCGTGTGCATTTTAATAAGTGTATAAATAGCTGCCATGCATAAGCATCTTTTTCTTTAAAATCTCACAAAATCGGACGCTTTGGCATTTTAGGTCAGTTTTTAAAAAATATTTCTGTAAAACGAACACTACTAGTCTCATGTTGGGTGTTTTCCTTTCTTGCTTTCAGTGAAGATTGTAACGTGGCATTTTCTGAGCTCTCTGCCTGTAACATTTCCTACTCTTTCAACTAAAGAACATTTACTCAAAAGAGCCAGCGATTACATCAAAAAGCCAGTTAGCCTTCAAAGATGTATGAAATCAGCAAGATTCACGTGTTGATCCCTAGGTATAACATATTTGCGTTAAAATAGGCACAATACTACTATATTCAGATATGTAAAATTCCACTTTCAAAATAAGGAAAACAATCCCGTTTGGTGGAAAGTTATCTTGTGGCGACTGTTCTTTCAAAAGCATCAACCCAGGAAATAAATAACACAGCTCTCAAAAGTAAGTTGTGGAAGGTCTCTCATATTGACATCCTGATTTGCTCAAATCTCATACACTCAGGATTTTTGCACGCAGCTCAGAACGTCAGGTCAGTTTAAAAAAAAAAAGTTTCGAGAGTAGTCTCATCTCAACGGGAAATACTGTGGTGTGTAAGGACGGCATCCAGGGTTCCAAAAGCGCCCCACCAATGCTCAGACCCTCTCCATTCAGTGATAGCGTGGCCCCTCGGTGTTTACAGTTTGATTGGGGAAGGAGAGGGTTGGGGAGGGGGGAGAGAGAATGGATTCTTGATCACAGTTAGATTTTTTAAATGAAAGAGCCAACTCTTCACTTTGAGGATAAAAATGCTGCTTTGTGGACATGCAGAAAGTGCTATGAGCCTATTCATATGGACCAGACAAGGAAATATACTAAAGACACGCAGGGCAGGAAGAAACCATAATCATTCTGTTAATGATCTGCTTGATAAACTGTAATTTAAGAATTTACCTCTGTTTTCTAGCTTTTAAGTCCCAATAGATATTTAATCTTTCGTTTCTGAAACAGATTTTCAATTTGTTAACCTATGTTTTTGGTTTTATTTACAACTTACGATGCTTAAGTGGCACAATTAAAGGTGTAAATAAAAACGTAACTTGTGTTTTGACTGTGCGCTTTGAGCTACTTTCTTTAGGGTCTTTTGAGTGTAGGCATTTAAAAAAATTAAAACACTCCAGTTTTTAACTTGATATTTTAGCGGATAAAGAATGCTGCGGTACGCTCCAGTTTAATAAACGACTTAATTGCAGAGTTGACTGCATGGGCCTTGAAAGCAGTTCGTAATCAATCTCAAATCGAGTTCTGCGGGCAGAAGAAGGGATATTTTATCACGGCGCACGTGGTGGTGGTAATGGAAAGTTCATTAGTGCCGGTTTTCTTTGGCTCCTTCCTTTTCTACAGAGTTCGTTCCTTGCCGAGCCTGGGGGGTGACGGGAGTGACGCTCGAGTGGTTTTGGCTGGAAGCAGGGTTAAGCGCAGAGGCGCGCCGCACAGCCCGCCCCGAGCCCCGCGGCCAGATGGCAGGGAGGGGCGCGGGGAGCCTTTGTGCGGCCGGAGCGCGCATGTGAATGCCGCGCGGTCGCCGGCACCGGAAGGGTTCACACTGCGTCTGAAAGGGGACAATGGAGGCTGGATATATCAACATCGGCGAAATCGAGTTCATTTGTGATTCAGCCCCTTTCACCATGGTTGTCATGCAAACTTCCTACTTTGATCAGCAGAGGGTGGAGAGGGAGAAAGCCCGCAGAGGCCGGGGCCGCGGCGCGTCCGCGGCGCCCTTGGCGGGTCCCCGCCCCCTTCCGGAAGGAGCCGCGGGGACGCAGCATCCTGCACCTTGACCTGTCTAGACGGCCCCCGAGTTTTTGTCCCGGTTACCAAGGGCGAGGGGTGCTCTTTGACCCCCGCGCGGGGCGGAGGTGGTGGCCAAAGGGTCCTCTGAATCCTCGCTGGATTCCGGAGGGAGAGGGGCGCGCGGAGACGGGCACCAGCTGTTCCAAAGACAGCGCAGCCGCGCCTGCGAGAGGGGCGATTCGGTCAGCCTGGCTTTTCCCTGCCCCCGGGCCCGAGCGGCCGCCGAGGGGCCACGGCGCGCAGGGCAGCGGCTGCGCAGCGCGAAGCCCGGCCTTCTCCCAGCTCTGGATGCGCTGGAGGAGAGACCCGAGCGCTCTCTCTGGCTCTGTCTGACTGTCTGTCTGTCTCTTGCAAGTAGATAGATAATAACAGCCATTACCTGTGCTTAATGCCTTATTCTGCATGTTCCATGACTTTCCAAAATTATCACCTGTAGGAGTATAGTTTCTAGCTTGAATAGAAGTTGTTTTCTTCTGTCCACTTTCGGACATAGGCACTTTTTAAAAACCGGAATTTAGGCTAACCCCTTAACTTATGTAAATAATAGAACTGTGCGCATGTTGTATCAGGACAGGAAATACTGTTTGGGGGATGGGGTGTTGCTACCACGTGCATTCAGGGGAAGATCTTTTCAATAATATCAACGTTAAGACGAGTTTCCTCCCTTTTTTGGCTTTTCTCCACAGATTCCCTTAGCCCAGTCGGAGGCATTCCTCACAGACCTCTTGGATAAAGTGTGTGAGCGAATGAATGACTACAAGCTGGAAGAAGGCCCCGTGACTAAGGAGAAGACTTTCAAGAGATTTGCTCCAAGGAAAGGAGACAAAATATACAAAGAACTTTTAAAATTCTATTTTTATTCTGATGCTTTTACAGACATTTGAAATTCTCGGTAAGCTATCTGCTTCGCAGAGGAATTCCGTACTCCATGAACATGTTTTTGGTCCTTTTTTTTTTTTTTTTTTTTTTTTTTTTTTTTTTTTTTTTTGCTGTTTGTTTGGGGTTTTGTTGGGTTTCAAGACATGCCCATTAAACTGTTATCTATTAGCTTTGTTGTCCTGCTGCTTTCTCAGTGTTAACCGCGCACTTGGTGACTTGCCTTTTGAGACACCTAGGGGCTGTGGTATTTCATCTCTGTGGAGACAGTTAAGTGTTATTTTCCAGAAAGTGCGTTACAAATCCCAGTGACTTGGAGGCACAGTTTGCATGTTGCTTTGCTCCTGGGGACGGTTGGGAAGGGGACTCAGTCCTCCCCGTGCCCGGGCAGGTCTCTTACAAGTTCCTACGTCAGGAATCAGGGACTGTGGTTCCGAGGTTAAAATCCAAATTAAAATGAATGTCGTTTTCAAATATTTACAGCCACATGATGGAGGGTGAGTGGCACACATCACTTTTTTTTCCCCAAGGCTTCACAGAAGAGAGAGAATTTTTTTTCCCTGAGTTCATTCAAGTATTTTAGCACAAACAAAGGCTTAGTATGATAGTTGGCTTTATGCCGCATTTCCTCCCAACATAATGTTTACTTCACGTGAATGCTGGCCTCTGGCTCTCTAGAATGTGCCTGGCAAAATATATAGCAAGAGATTTCACTTTACTTAATGCTATTGCGTCAGACCAAGTGATGGGAAAGCCTGTTTGAGAAACGTCTTTGGTTCACACGTTGGCCAAAATGTCAGACATGCTGAACCCCTGGTATAAGGACGGCAGCTGACTTTTGAAGATTTCATTTTAATTAAAAAGTCAAGACAATAATTCAGGGCTAAAAAGCACTGTGGAATGGGAATCACAGTGAGGAAGTGTGTTCGTATCTCACAGGTCTCCCATAAATATGTAATAGTGGAATTTAAATATTTTTAAATGCCATTTAAAAAATTTTAGCTTCTCACTTAATGAACTCGGAAAATGAGTCACGAGTCTCCAGTGAACTCTCTTTACCACCACAGTTCCTAAGCTTGTGCTTCTCCAACGCAGACACACGCTCCAGTCAGAATTTAAGATTTTTGGGTGTGTGGGTACATTTGAGCTCCCTCTTCTCTGAAATGTCAGATTTGGGGTGGGGGGAAGCGGAGAGAAATTCCGGATGGATCTCTTAAAGTGGTATGAAGAGAAACTTTCCTGAGTAACGGAAAAGCCCCGTTATCCCGAGTGCAATTGAGGAGGCACTTGTGTTTTGATTGCTGAGAAAGCTTAACTATTTTCACACTTCAGACCCTGTTTTAAAACCACAAAATGGATTATTATGTTAAATCTAAAGGAAACTGGTTTAACCATTTCAAGGAGCCGTGTTCGCTAAAGTTTCAAAACAAACAAACAAACAAAAAACCCGATGACTTTCAGCTCCATAAATAGGAGCTCCATCCCTCCTGTTCCTTGCATTCCGTTCCAGTTTGAGGAAGAGGAGCAAATACAAAGAACCATCTTCCTGCCTCACCCTCGTCTTTCAACATGACTAATCAGTTAGCCAAGTCTCAGGAAAATGATGCAATTAACATTCTGGGAAGAGAGTTAATCCAATGCAATGATGTCTTAAACCAAAAGGGCTAATAAAATGGACCACCTTGGTAACATGATTTTATATTTTTAGCTAATAAAACTGTGACAAGTTCTTCCTAACAAGATGTCCTGTGAGTGCATATCTATCCACATATGTTGTTATTCTGTTTCTACAGTGTGAAACTATAATGGAAAAGTACGAAGATGAAATATTCTCACTTATCGCCCAGGAGGCACACTACCTTGCTGACAAGCTGTGCAGTGAAGAATCAGGTACTGTGTCTGCTGTAGCATGCGCCCTCTCCCTGGCCCACCCCTCTGTTGAGCTCAGCACTGCAGCATCTTTTTTTTTTTTTTTTTTTTTCAAACCAAGCCTCGCCGTCTCCCTGCCACTGATGGGGTCTCCACTGAATCAGAAACGACGCCATGTGAGAGAAAGCAAACAAACAAACCTCAGGGCTATGAGGCCTTGCTGGTTGCACTTCATCTCCTCGACATTTTAAATGAATTTAAAAATGCTTGATTTCCAATTGGGAAGGAACACAATTGCACGAATCCAAGAATCCAAAGCGTTTCTCTTTTTAAACTTTTAGAGCTGGTTTCTCCATCCTGGACCAGGGAAGGAGAATCCCTTTATGACTTGTGTACTTACCTCCACCAACAGAAAGTGGGATCTTTCTTTAGTAAGAAATTTCAAACGTTTTTCAGTTTGTTTATTGGGCGCTGGATTTTTTTTCAAGTTCCTTTCCCAGCATACCTACTTCTTAAAATTTTTTTTCTGGTAGAGGGTGAAAGATAATACTTGATTCGTATTCTTAAACACACACATGCACACGCACAATAAGAAGCTAGAAAACACTGCCAGAAGTTTATTTTCTATATACAGAGTTGAAACACAGGGCCACCCTGACCCGACCCTCCATTTGGTTGAACACACACCTTTTAGTCTGTATCACGTTGATACTTTTAAAATACATTTACAAGAATGTAGTACAAGTCATGCATTCTTTTCAGATATCTTTGAAAAACAGAATGTGATATATGAAGACACTAGTTGAAAGCTGGGGGAAATACTTTGCTGCAATTATGGAAGCTTGAGATGTTTAGCATTCGGCAATTGTTTATAATAAAGTATAATATACCTGCAGCCATAGGTATATAAATTTAGTGCTGAAGTCCTTAAAATAACAGTTACTGTGAGTAGAATATAAATATTTGTCATCCAAAGTTACTGAACAAGAAAGTAACAAATTTCCATTAACATGATGTCGTTTTCTTACTCTGAGTAGATAATGGGGTTGTTCTCTGTTTAGAATCCAGTTTAGCTGGGAATTTGAAGGAGCGTCTGGTGAAATGATGTAGTCAGGATATAGCCAGGGATTCAAGAGCTTTTTCCATTGATCTTGGTATTTACTGTTGTAACTTGTGAAATTCACGCCAATAAAGTGCATAGTCGCAATTTCCCAAAGAAATGATTTTGGAAGGTTTTCAAGCTATTCAGAGGTGAATGTGTGCGTTAAGATGTAAGCAAAAATGTAACGATGTTGAGAATATTTGTTTTCCTATTTTTTCCTCATAAAGGATTTGGGCCTGTCCTAATCATCTATGGTAAATGCAAATCATTTGCTGTATGAACACCTGCTCAAATATTACAAAAGTGTCAAGAAAGTTTCACCAACTCTTTACGGCAGTAGTTGCCTCGGATAATAAGATCCTGAGGAAAGACTCTGTTCCCAAGTGCAGCAATTTGGCTTAATTTTGATAATATTAACTATCTCTTTTCATTCCTCCTGCATATTTATAATTAGAAATAAAAATTAATATTATCCTAAAGAAAATACAAGCGTAAAGCATAAACTTAGGATATGTGCCATATTACTAGTGTAAAATAAAACATGATCGAATAATTCTTAGTAGCATCGATTTTTTAAAAACTGATTAAGAGCTTACACTGTAAACGTAAGTATCAGTGCCCCAGAACTATTGAGAACACAAGGTAACCTCTCCAAAGAGTAAACCACCACATGGCTGCTACACAGTAAAATGGAGTGAGTTTTTTCAGGTTGTTTCTCTGTGAAACATACTTACGGATGTTCTAAACCACTTATAAATTAAAAACTAGGAATATAGTAATCCTAAAAAGAGATAAGAATCCCTGCCCTCCTAACCCCCCCTTATTATTGAAGTAAGTAAACCTCATGAAAAGATCAGAGTTTTTCAAACTTAAAAATTATTGCCAGGAAATAACTAAAGTGACACAGCAATGAGAATAATTCCAATTAATGACTGCAGCAACAAAGATGTAACACGTTTTAACATATTGGGATGCTTTCGGAAATTTGTGTAAAAGGTGAGACTCGCGTATTGTATAAAAAGTCCAGAAGCTTTTAAACGTAATCTAATACAAGTACAGTAAGTTTCCTGCTATAGCATGACATTCACCCTCTGTTTTGTAAAGGCGATGCTTTATTTTGTGCTGTTGTACCACAGTTTTGCTATGATCCCTCTGCACGAGTTAAATGATGTTTTAAAAATATGACTGTGTGTGTGTGTGTGTGTGTGTGTGTGTGTGTTTATTGGAGGCTATGAAAACTACATTAACCAGTAACTCTGTACCTAGTATATACTATGAGCAGACACTGTACTGAGAGCTCGTAAAATGTCCACATTGCTTTTAGGGAGATTAATAATCTTTTCAAAGATAAATATTTCTAGGACTAGAGGTTTGAGTGGAAGTTTATATGCTTTATATACACCTTATATATGTGTGTGTGTCTGTGTGAATTTTGCTTTTTTCTATTTCATGTAGACCTTTTCACTTTATTTTTAACAATTATATGGGAGCAGATGAGGGCACATTCACAGACTTTAACATTTCAGCTGTAGAGGTATAATTGACCTAGAAAATTGTAAGGTATTTAAAGTGTACATCACGGTGATTTGATATGTGTGTACATTGTGAAAGGATTCCCCCCATCTAGTTAATTAACACATGTATGATTCTTTAAAATATTAATATTCTAAGGCTCACCTCCTACACAAAATAAATGGGGAATAATGGAGGAAACATATTTTATGTTAAACTTAAAATGACTGTGTTTGGCTTTAAAAATAACAATTTAGTGAGATTTTCATGAACATGTGTCATCCTTTCAACGAATGAAAAACGTCTCAGTGAAAGGCTATGGGTCTGCAGATGGATCTGCAGATGCCACTGTAGCTTTATTCACTGGATAGAAGAAAAGTTATCAAATACACCCTGTTTGGGGGGCAGGAGACAGTAATAGTGGTAGCAGGTTATTTCTTACGTATCTCTTTTTCTTTCCTAGGCATGAAATAAAAGTGAGTTCATTAGATTTTCCTGGTTGAATGTTTTGTGGCACATGACTCAGCCTTTTCCAGCTTGTCGTTTTAATGTCTTGAAGTAAAAATGGTATTTTAAAATCTTAATAACATATAAGGTCATGATTCAAATGATAGCTATACTCCACTCAAGGTGGAACATGTCACTCTAGATTATGGATAAATGGATACTCTGGTCTGTGGAGGTTTTCATTAGGTAGAGTGAGGGTATAAACACAAATACATAAATATGTTTTGTATACATATCACTTCTGCTTTGATATGAAGTCTTAACATTTAAAAACATCAGACCGATGAGAATTTGTGACACGATCATTTTGAATGCCACAGATGGAATAGGTCTCAGATATCCAGAAATGTTTAGCCTACATTTAAAGTAAAAGCATTTTGACCTTTTTGTATAGACTTCCAAGCACTAACGGGGGTGTTAAATTCTAATATTCAAAACACTTACCTTCAAGGCTAATAAATCATACAAAATAATACGAAGGCTGGCCTATTTCCTGTTTTAAATAAATTACGTAGCTAAAATAAACCGTAGCCCAGTCTAAAGAGAGCTGGCATGAATTGCTGCCAGTTGGAAATGTACTATGTATCCAGGCGTCATTGCCTCTCTGCTCCTTGGATTAAATGCCCAGCGCACTGATTCCCTGTCTCGAATATTCCTTAAATACTCCCATGACCACGGGCAAGATGATACAACCCCTGGGCTTTGTTTCAGAATACTCCAGGAAAAAATACTGGAGATGGGACAGGAATAGCAGTGGCTGACCGAGCTACAGGGGAGTAGATTACATTCGTCTTTCTACTCTTGTGTGTATTTGAAAATGTCCATAAGAAAGTTTAAAAAGAAATGTGCTTCCACAAGAGTGTGCTTTTGCAGAAAGTAAATTATGACTTCTGGGCTGGTGTTAAATGTGATAGTGATGCCATCTAACTTTTTTTTTCCAGGTCTGTGTGAAACTTCTGCTAATCACACTGAACTCTAGGAATGACGCTGCTGCTAGTTAGAGGAGAGACAAGTCACAGCCCCAAGGTCAATGTCTGCGTTTCTGTCCTCGTGTTTCTTCATGAGAAGAAACTTTACGTCTCTTGTTCATACTGCATTGTCTCATGTTTGATATTTTATTGAAAATCTCTTGTTTGGCATCATGACGAGCCCCAATTCTTTCTATAGGTGAAGCTGAGGAGTGCATGAAACGAATTACCTTTGTGGATTTTGATACAAACAGGCTTGGCAGGAAAGCATTTAACTCAGTAATAGGAAAAAAGTGAAGACATTTCATAAATGAAATAAGGATTTAATAACGTGTACTGTATATTTCATGCACATATACAAGTATAGTGTTCTGTTTGATAGACTTGATTTGATTTCATAAATACTTGATTAGTCATGAAATTAAGAAAACATATTGCTGCAAATTCCAGGTTAATTTTTCTGGGCTGTATGGCTATCACTGAAAGAAGCAAACTCGCTTTATATCAGGAATAAAATTTAAATTTCTAGAAACCTTGAGTTTAGAAACTTCTTAATTTCTGAAATTGAATTAAATGCATAAAAAGCGGTGAGTACTTTTACAGGGAACAATAACTATATCGGCCTTTCTGAGGCATACATCCTGAATTCAGATGATTTAGAAAGTTGATTTATTATTCATATATTTATTATCATGTAGTCTTAAAGGATGATACCAGTGGCCATGTTTTGTTTTGCTGCAAACTCTCCTGTCATGCCTTTGTTTCTTAAAGACTTTCACCTAACATTTAGCGTGTAGATTTTACTACTAACCAACCTATCATTCTTTCTATGGATGTTTTTGTAGGTGTGGAGATGGAAGGAGAGGTGGGAACTTATGGAAAATTGCCTTTTGACCACGTTAATAACAGAGTGTAGTAATAATCTCAGTCTTGGAGATTTCATTGTCTCTGTTAAGTTTACATTCATTGGAATATAACTTTAATCTTTTAAAAGGTCAGGACCTATTTTACCATTGTTTTAAAGAAGTTCTCATTGTTGTCTCTGAGAATTTACTAGGTAGGATGCTTATACTTTGCTATGTGGATTTCTATTTGCTAAGAATAAGCCAAGACCAATGAATCCATTTCACTGAGGAGTGGAGAGTGGAATAGAGCAAAGTCCCCCAAACAAAAACTATTTGCTCTATGTTACCTGATGGCCTAGAAATTCTGCACATTACTTAAGCCACTCAACGGACTCGTCAGGAGGAAACAATTCTTACATTTAGAAAAATTTGCCAAAATGAAGAGAAAGAGGTTTCCAGTCTTCTCCTTTTCCCACCTCAACTCTTATTAAAAGTTAGATTTTCAAAGTTAATTTCATTTATTTGGGAAAACTGAGAAGGTTTGTGATTTTTTTTTTTTTTTTTTTTTTTT